AGCCCCTCGCACTATGCCTCCCCCAAAGACCCCCCACATGGCTGCCCGTGTCAGGGCAGCTCTAGGCCCCTCACCGGCCGCAAGCTGGCCCGCAGGAGCCGTGCGGGGACGCCGCGCCTCAAGGAGACTCCCACCACGGCCGCCGCCATCTTGGCGTTGCGCAGTTCCGACCCCGCTCCCGCCCCGGAAGCGGAAAAAGCCGCTAGCACGGCCATAGAGCGCCGCTTTAAGATGAGGGAGGGGCGGGGCTCTGCGGGCAGCCATTTTGGGTGTGGCGGCGGCCGCAGGGGAGGCGCCATGTTGAGTGTGGTGCGCCCTGTGGCACAAGGCGGGATGGCGGGGCCCGGACGCCTGGATCCTCCCTTTTTGGGGAGGGGGGAGACCAGTGCGGCCCCCCATTAATTCCCATCCGAATTCTTTCTGCAGGGGAGGTGCCCAGGCCCACCTATCTGCTGCAACACTGGTTGGGGCAAAATGGCAGGCGCCAATGGCCGACATGGCATCCCCCCCTACCTCGCCCTCCCTGAGGGCATCCTTCCCTTTCTCTCACGATTATCACCCCTTATTATTTAATTTACCACTTCATTCCTCACAGCAAATTCATTTATTAACTGAATCGCAAGCAACACACACCGAAAAAGCCGCCTGGGGCGAGGGTGGAGGGAGGAGGAGGCCTCGCTATGGTGTTACGTGCCACCATTTGAAGGCAAAGGGCTGCCGCTGGACATTCGTGCCACAGCGGACCTCCCCGAGCCTGCCATGGTAGGAGGCCACCTCCTCGAGGAAGCAGCAGTGTAGGCCCAGCGGCTCCAGGAGGGAGCGGGTCTGCCGCTCCAGGCAGCATTCACCCCCCATCACGGGGCCGAAGGGTTTGGGGATGCCCAGGTCTTTGGCCAGGATGATCATGGTGACCTGTGGGGTGACACAAAGGGAGCCCAGCGGCATCGGGACTGATGAAGCCAAAGGAAAGCCGCTGGCCACCCTCCTCCATCAGTCTCACCCCAAAATGGTGCATCGACGCCACTTTTTGCAGCCAACTTCCCCCAGGCCTCCAAATCCAGCATAATTTTCCCCCTTCTTATCATTAAAACATGCCCCATGCCTTGCAATTTCACTGCTTTGAAAGGCTTTCACCTCAAAACTATGTAGGTTAACCCCACTGCAAGCAACACAAAGCCACAAAGTTATGGTAGACCCGGGCTTATCTGAGCCTGGCTGGAGATATTTTCTTTGTCTGGGAAGCTGTAAATGTTGTGCTTTTGTGGCACAACTTTGGGGACTCATCCTGGCTGAATAAACTGGTTTTTGGAGAGACCCGAGGAACAGGGACCCCCCTCACCATGTTGGGGAAGTATGGTACGGCTTTGCCCTGCTTGTCGAGCTTGAACAGGGCCGGCAGATCGACGATGTCCTCCTCTGTCAACCCCAGCTCCTTCTTGAGGACATCTCTGTTCCAGTCGATGCAGCGCTGGAGGGGATGGAGAAGAGTGGGTGGAGTGGGGGGACACAGGTAGGCATGGCCCCCAAAACCATCTCACACAGGAGGAAAGCCAAAATGCAACACCTCCCTTAAGGGTTTGCACCACCCTGGGGCAGTTATTACAAGAAATATCAATTATTACCAGAAATATCAATTATTACCTGGACATACTGGTTCTGCTGCACCAGGTTGTCGTTGGAAAGGACCTTGTTAATGGTGACCCGTTTTGTGTCTGTTCCCAAGTACCCTACAAATGCAAACCCCCGTTAAAATGAAGTGGTGCTAGCAGAAGCCTGGCTTAAAATGGGGTACACAGATGGAAAAAGTCCCCAGAATCATGATTTTCTGAGCTTGGAATTAAGGCTGCCGGGAGTCCCAATTCTTAGTTCATTGGGAAACTGGGTGGGAAGAAAACCTCTGCCCATTGGAAAGAGCATTGGAAAGGTCCTGTCATCCATCCTGCTGCCCACAGGAATCATTATCTGCTAAATCTCTTCATTCAGCTCCACAAAACCAGAGCTGCCACCTCCATGGAGGCCATCTCTTGTTTGGGGACAGCTGGGTCCCAGGCAGGTGGCAGTGACCCAGAGGGACCTGCGAAGGTATGGAGACCTTCCCCCAAACCCATCACAGATGGATGATGTTCAAAACCACAATTAGAGGATGCCCAAACTGGCAACCAAAATGTCATTGCTGCAGGGAGGGAAGGGCAAGCGAGAAAAAACGGTGCTAATTTGGGGTGATGCGAGAGCCCCTGGTTGTCCCACTCCATGCTGGAGCTCTGCTGGTATTTACAGAGATGCTCCATCCCACCAAGCAAGCATCCCCTCCGTGCAGAGGGCTTTATCCCTCCCATCCTACTCGCTTTCCCAAAATAGGGCTTGAGGAGGCTGGGTATGGTGAGCAGGCATCCCGCTTGCCAGCTGTGAAGGGCAACCGGGTGGGAAAAGGTCCCCATGTCCCCCCGATACCCGCACGTCGGTCAGGCGCTGCCGCCCTCGGGCCGGCTGCTCTGTGGGGTGGCTCCGGCTGTCTCAGCTAACATCAAAGCTCAGCCGAAGCCGCCTGCTGTCCCCTTGCCTTTGAACATGGTGGCTTCACCCTGGCCCTCCTTCTGCTTCTCTCGAAAGAGCTTGTAGCATGCCGCGGGGCTGGCCATCAGCATCCGAAATCGCTGCGGCAAGATGGGAGGGAGAGTGGTCACTGAAAGTGCCTTATCCAAAGCCTTGGGGGACTTCAGGGGCTTATTTTTGGAAGGAACCTGAGCTTAAACTCTTAAAATTAGGTGTTTTTGCTGTTATTTAGTGCCTTTTTTAATGTGGTGCTGAGGGGATGTATCCAAAAGAGGTGCAGGGATTTACACTGTTGGCAAATACGAAATGCCCCCAAGGGGTTAAACTGCTGCTGGGGCAGGGAGGAAAACAGCATCCTGGCTGCAGCTGGGTCCAATCCTGCCCACCCCAGGTGGGGTATATAAACCCCCCTGAGGGTGTTTACTGGAGGTTTAGGTGAGCTTAGGTGGTGGGGGAGGAGTGTGGTTGCTGTCTGAGGGTGGGTTGGTTTGTTTCTGGGCTGGCGTTGCAATGTGGGGGAGGGGGAGGATAGAGCAAGTGAATAATCAGGCTCTGACTTCCTCAGAAGAAGCCAGATGAGCTAATCCTATGGGAACTGTGAATTTGTAGGGTCTGAGTCCTGTGTGTGTCCTGGCTTGCTTCCCACCAGCAGAAATGGTTTCCTCGCTCCTTGGTGGAGCACCAGAGACTGCTTGCTGCAGTCTTGATGGGATTTCTTATGGGGGCTTAGCACAGCCCCAGGGAGGGCAAAAGCACTGAATGGAGGGTTTGTGAGGGGTGGGTGTGTGCATAAATACTTTTTCTATGAACCATCCAGGTCAAGACATGGTTTCTCTGGGAGGAAAAATCTTGTGTCAGAAGCAGTAAAAACCAGGACAGAGGAAAGAGAAAATATCTGGGAGATGCTGAGCAGCTGTGAACCCTGGCCAGCCCATGTGAATATTGAAGTTTACATTTCTTGGACAACCTTTACAGGCATCTTTTTTTCTTCTGTGTTGATTATTAGCTCAACAAGTCCCTTTTTGTGTTCAGAGCCCTCATTTTGTGGATGAGAACCCCAGCAAGTACTGGTTGGGACTGTCAAGGAAACAAGCTTTGGGGTTTTCCTTAGAGGTGCCCTAATGGGATTAGCTGCTCAGAAGAGAAACCGCAGAGTAGCACAGGGTTTTGGGGTACCTTTGCATCGGAGGTGGGCACAAAAGTGACGAACTCATCAACGTGGCCTACGGACAGCCAGTCGGAGTAGAGCTCCACAGGAGCCTGCACTTGCTGGGCGTAGAGGAAATCCCGCACTACTCTGGTCATTCTCCGCCCTGCGGCTCTGGGGGCAGAATACCCCCGAGAGAGGGAATAAGGGGAGTAAATACTTATGCAGCAATATGTACATACACATAAATTGTTATCAAGGTGGAGGAAAGAAAGGAGGGTTTAAATGTGAAGATGGAGATTGGGTGCATCCACTCCATAGGGTACTGGATTTGCAGCTGGTCAGGGAATGGCTAATTAAGGCCATTAATGTGATTTTTTTTTTTTGGATGACATTTAGGGGCAGTTGTGGTTCCTTTGCTCCTAAACCTGTGGGTTTCCCATTGCTTACGTGGGGAAGCTGCTGCCGATGAGGATCCTCCCCAGGGGATATTCCTTCCCTGCCACGGTCACGGGTGGGCTGACCTCCAGGTTGCCGAAGGAGTCGAGGCTGGTGATGGCTTCAAAGAGGGGCTCTCTGGTCACGTAGCCAAAGTCGGGGCCCTGGGGAGAGAGAAATCACTGTGGGCTTTGCCCTGAGTCCCCCATGCTTCTGTGCCTTTGCTTTTTTCCTCATGCTGGCCTCAGACCTCTTCCAGTGGGTAAAAATATTAAGAGTGAAGCCTGTCCATGGATGGGGAGAGGCTAAAGGAAAGGCAAGAGGATAAAGGTCTCTGGGTCATCTGAGCTCAGTAATAAATGGCAAATGCCGGTGGCAGAGCTGGGGAGAGATCTCCTCTGCCATCCCACAGCCAATGTTTAAGTGTCTGCATTAAGCTAATTAGGTGCTGGGGTGGCCCTGAAGCTGAGTTTCTGGATGGCTCTTGTCTAGCTAGATGAACTTCAGCCCCTGAGGATAAATCCACCCCAGGCATAAGAGCCACCTGAAGGGCTGTACTTCACTTAAATCCTGTTTAAGCCTTGATTTTCAGGACTTAATGTACCTGGGATTTAAGGCATTGTGCATGCAGGGGTAATTAACCCTTGGTTGTGATGTGCCAGGGTCAAATGCCCAAGGGAGAGATTGTAATGCTAAAAATAGGGCAAAAAATGGCAGTGGTGGACAAAAATCCTGCCTTGAACCTGTCCTTGCTCTCTGGTTCAAGTCAACATGGACTTGGAGCTCATGGCAGCCCCTGGGACAAGATCAGGTATCTGTTGTGATTGGGATTTAATGCAAACCCTTATTAGTGTTGGGTTTCCATAAGGGTAAACCAAATACACAGGTTGGTAAAAATGAGCAAGGAGACCTGAGGGTGCATGGCTTTGATTTAGAAGTGTTTTTTTTTTTTTAATTGAGGATGTTTGGAGAAGCTGGGATAGCGAGAGTGCAGCAGGGCTGCCTTTCCTTGAGGCTCCCTGTGCATTTTTGGGGGGCATAT